ATAACTCTGCATCTGCCAGAAAGACCGGGCGAACAAATATTCACTTTAATGCTCTTGTTTCTGTTTCTGTACAGTAAAACCAAAAACTCCAACAATCACATCAGTCAATGAACTCGAAGGGAATTTTGAAGTCAAGTGGACGTCAAACATGGAGGGATTTATAAACAATGAAATGACTGCTGTGGTGACTTACTATAAAAAAGGAGAAACAGAAAAGGTAGGAACAATGCCACAGTAACTATTTGTTCTGGAGATGTAAACATGGGCAACTGTCAAACTCATTTTTGTTCCTCCATACTAGACATCTGGACCTTTCAAACCAGCCACAGTTGATGAACTAAATTACTATGTAATAAAAGGTCAAGACCTGGATCCCAGTTCAGCATATGTGGTCAGCGTGAAAAGCTTCATAAGTCTGAGTGGCAAGTTCAGTGACAGTAGCGAAGAGTGGGAATTTGAAACTGGTAAGTATTGTCTTTATTCAGTTGTAAATTCTGTATTTCTTAACCGTGTTAAGAGGCCCAAATTATATTTCTATTACACATTCAGCTGAAAAATAATGAGTTTTAATATTAACTCTCAAACTAACTTTCATGGAAGCCGCTGTCTCCAGAGAAAAGTGGAGATGAGCTCCTCAGATTGTAACATTAAAGCTGAACTACAATGTCCTGTATTCAAATATAAAAGATCCTTGAATATCTCAAAAGCAAAGCGATGCATACTTTGCTGTGAAGGTTCAGTTTGTTCATTTGAATTTTTCTCCAAAACAACCGAATTACTATGATGTCATGTCCTTCTATTTACGTTCCAGAAAGTGCACTCACATTTGTTATTTGCATTAGTGTTAATATGTACTTTCTCCAAACACTTTGAATAATGTGGTTATTGCGTTAAACTTCCTGACTTATGTCACAATACAAATTGAACCTGTTCTTCATTATCATTTTCATCCTCTCCCCTGTTTTCATTTTTGCTTGAATTGTTGGTCACAAAGGTTTTGTTTATGCTTTTGGAAATGACAAAAAATACAAAAGCTGATTCATACTTTTGTCTGTATACAGTAGTGTTTGCTCATAGTTGTGTATTTTCTGTACAAATAGAAAAAGCATTAAACTTTTTTCAAACGCCTACCTTCACAGCTCGCTCCCCACACTACCTGCTCGTGGTTATCATCATCTGCCTCAGTATTGCTGCCGTCATCTTAAGCGCTGTTATGTATGGCAGTTATATCAAGTAGGTTGTGCATATAAAAAGTTAGTTTTTTCTGCCAGTGCACATTTCTCCTAAATACTAGAGCTTTTTTATTTTTTGTTGATTTATTTTTTTAACATTTCCTTTTAGGTTTAAAAGAAACTGGTGGGATGTAGTTACCAAACCTCCAAATCCAAGCTTTCTTAATATCTATCCAAGCAAGGAACAGGTGAGACATATTTCACACTAGTTAAAAGTTATGACTTGATAGTAATAATTGTGGGAAATTTTTATTAATTTTTTTTATTACTTTTTCATTAGTAGCAATTCATTGGATTTATGTTCTGTCCTTAACCTCCTAAGACCTGAAGTCTTCCACGGCATGCATTTTTAATTTCTCTTTGATATTTGGGCATATTGGGACTCAATGAATGTAAAAACAAAGAATTACCAGATTTTGGTTTTTTTACCTTAAATTTGTTTTTAGGAAAAATAAGAGCCACATATGAAGATATTCATTTAAAATTTTGATAGAACAGTAGCAGCATAATGTCCTCGTAAGTGGATATCAGGCCCTTGTAGAGCAAAATTGAGTATTTTGGTCTAAATAACCCAAAATGTGATGTCCACATATGTGGACGCCAGGTCCTAGGAGGTTAAATAGCAGTTTGGTTGGGACTGTTATACTCAGAAGAACAGTGTTATTTCCATCTGCGGTCATTTATATTCTTAGTATGGCTCTCTTCGCTGACTTCCTCACCCTTCCGTGTGTTTCATGAGAACAGATCAAACATGAATACATGGGCTGGAGGAGGTTTGCACCAATGGTAGGCAGGCTAAAACAACTTAATTAGTTCACTGAGTATAACATTTACTGACGGCGCCCTGCACCTTATATCGGATAGTACTTCTCACACAATCTGACAGGATTACAGCTGAGCTTGAATATATGACCTGCGTCATGTTTAAGACTGTTAATCCCTTTTGTTTAGGTCTTAAAACCTGAGCCATCCATTACCTCCACTATCTGCATTGAGCCCCTTATACCAGATGACAGTAAACTGGGGTCAGTATTGGCTCTATTGATGCATCAGCATTACAAGATATTTTCTTGAGGATTTTTATCTGGCAGTTTCAGTAATTGTTTCTCTACTCAGGTCGAAGATGTCACTGACAGACACAAGCAGTGGAAGCCTTCAGCAAACCAGTGGGATCAGCACAGGCTCCTCCGATCTCAGTTATGCGAATGCCGAACCCCCTGAGACTATGAACGAAGAACCTCCTATCACTAAAGCTGTTCATGATGTGCTTTCTAAACTTTTCCTGAATATTAGCCCCATATCACCAGTGACCACCAATCCCCTTACACAATTAATGAATATGCAAAAAAGCGATTTATGCTCAGCTCCTTACAGTCCGTGTAGTGTCCAAGCTAATGACACCAGTTCAGGATCATCTGTATTTGAAAATAAAACCTATTCCCTCCTAATCCCCGTCTCTGAACATCAGGCCATGACGGGCGACTTGGAGGCACAGGAGAAGGCTGAAATGCTTTGTGTCCCCGATTACCATCCCAGTAAGAGCGACACGGAAATTTGTCCTCATCAGCTGCTACCATCTTGTCAAGTTCCTGCTCAGCAAGATTCTGGTTCATTTCTAAGGCAACCAAACATGCCATATCAATCCTACAAAGCAGATTCTGGGACATTTTCGTATGAAGAAGACACCAGCTTGTCCTCTCTCTCTAGTGGGACTAACGCATCTGATTCTTGTGAATTTTCATCCAGAGCTGAGGCAGAGTTTGAGAGCTCTGATGAGGTCATGAGTGGTAAACCAAAGCTAGGTGAAGAGGTCACAATTTGTGATGAAAATCCCTGTTATGGTTGTGTGCCTAAAGGGTCAAACAGCTTTCTTGCAATGGATGATGACTACCAGGCACTTCCAAGTCTGGAGAAGCAACCTGATATTTTGCTTTTAGAGCAAGGAAATGGTGAGTACGAAAAATTATTCAAAAAGACTCCTCAAAGCATCTTAAGTGAAGTCTTTCCAGGTTTTATCCACAATGTCCAGGGCGGGCAGCTCCAAATACCTTTTCCCCCCTTAATGTCTGTTGACCACTCTGTGCCAATAATTACAGATGCTG